CATTCGTGAGACGTGAAAGGGTAGTGCTCGAGTAACGATGAACGTGACCAATATGGCATAGTATAAGATGATATGCGTTTATTACCTCGTTAGCCATGGACATAACCAAATTGAGAATATTCCCCGAATTCATGCCGATAGCAAGGTACGAAGGCATTTCCCTCTCAGCTATCTCGAGCTGATCGAAATTCGGAATGCCTTGATCACCTTTCCTATACAATAAGAGAAAATGATGCCGGTGATTTCTCAACTTCTGCCAATCATCATTCTCTTGATGGAGCGTCAGAAAACCTCCGTGTAACATGTAGTCTATCACGTACTTCGGAATCATTTTCTGTGAACAAAGCATTTTTTTCAATCAACAACAAAGATCTAAATCAATCAATCATGATCAAACTATTTAACCAGGGGAATAAGTTAAAAAAACTCTGGTTCGGGACTGTTACAGAAAAAGCAAAACAATGGTCGTTTCGGATACTATGAGTATACCAGGTGCTTCAAATTCGACCCCCACCATTGCAAACTGTAAGTGATACGAAGTCGCTTAAATGAAAGCAAAGTTGAGTATTTAGGTAACTTGAAAGTTGCGGAATTCAAATTACTTCCGGAAAACCGAATTTTCCCAAAATCGTGTTAATTTTTTTTTTGACTTTATTTGTAGTGGAATTTCAAAATATATTGCACATTACATTGCCACTTTTTCTCCTCTATAGGATGGTATGATCAGAATTTCAATATGATGCTTCGTCTCTTGTCCTTCAGCATCAAATTTCTTTTTTCTTATAGACACCATATTGGATTTTTGCACAAATGGATAAACTTTTTAATTCTGATTCCAAAAATGTATGATACGTCCATACATTGACATCGCCAAACCTTATTTCAAGAAAAATACAGAATTTCTTAGGTGAGCTTTGAAATTATCAGATATTATACTAAGTGACATATAAATCCGAACACCCAGTTTAAATGGTTTTATTTTAATAAAAGTTGGTGAATGTATTTATCTTACTGTAAATAAGAAGTGAACAAAATTTTCAGCCTTATCAGTTGGACATTCCAGTTTTTATACTGCTTTTTTTAATTCACTAACGCTCTAAAAATGAATATTTCAGCCGCAGTAAAGAATCAACGTTGGCGGATTTTGATTCTTGACATCCTTTACGATCGGTTACGATGCCTAGAGTACGGAGACCTGTACGATTTTGACAACTTAGTGAGTTTGATAGGGGCCGTATAGTGGGACTTCGGGAAGCTGGACTTTCTTTTCGGGCAATTGCAGTTAGAGTGCAAAGAAGTGTAGACACTGTGGTTAGGTGTTGTCAGGAATGGCTTCGAGAAGGCCGTACGCAAAGAGCAAGGGGCACTGGACGCCGCCGTAGAACAACAGACCGTTTGCAGAACACGGAAGACCTATTGGCATACGAAGTGTTTACCGACGAATGAGAAGTTTTGGCTTGTTTTCATACCGGCCACAGTGGGTCCTCCCTTTAACTCGAGAACACCGACGTAATCGCTTTGACTGGTGCAGACAACGGTCACTCTGGGATCAGGAATGGAACAGTATTGTCTTTAGTGACGAGTCTCGATTTTGTTTAGGCATGCACGATGGTCGTGCCAGGAGGAATCCACAGTTTTTTGTTGAAAGACATGCTCATCACACTGTTGGAGTTATGGTTTGGGGTGCTACAGCTTATGGTTCCAGGTCACCTTTAATCTTCATCAGAGGTAACATGAAAGCGCAGCGTTATATCCACGAAGTTCTAGAACCCCATCTTTTACCCTATCTTGACACCCTGGCAGATCCAACTTTCCAACAAGATAATGCCCGACCACATGTTGCAAGAGTCACAATAGACTTCTTTCAACATAATGATGTCACATTGTTACCATGGCCATCAAGATCTCCCGACTTATCCCCAATTGAGCACGTGTGGGATATGATGGGTAGGAGATTGCTCAATTTGCAACGTCCTCCTCAGACTCGAGAAGCACTTCGAGAGGAGTTGGCGGTTGCCTGGAATGAGATACCACAGGAGGACATTGACCACCTGATCAGAAGCATGCCTAGGCGCGTTGGAGAATGCGTAGCACATCAGGGTGCATCCACACATTATTAAAGGTCAAAGGGCTTTAAAGCAGTGCAATCATTTTGAAATTTTTATCATTTACTTATTATGCTTCATTATGTACTTATACAAAATTTTATTAAAATAAAACCATTTAAACTGGGTGTTCGGATTTATATGTCACTTAGTATACATTCGTTTTGCATACCATATTTATCCCAAAATAATTTTTATTTTTTCCCGACTTTATTTGGAATGGAATTTGAAAATAACTTGCATGTTGTTACTCATTCTCCTCGACAAGATGGCGCTATCAAATTTTCAATTCGAGGTTTCTTCTTTCTACTTCCATCATCTACTTTATTTTTTCATATGGACGCTATAGTGGAATTTTATAAATTTGAATGCACTTTTTAGTCCTAAATTCAGTGATATATTTCCTTAGTTGGCGATAAATATGTAGTTGGATGACATAAACGAAAGCTACCGGTAGCTCGCAAAGGCAATTCTGGTGACCCACAACGTAAAGGGTTGTCCAATAGGGACGCAGGAAAGTAAACGTCAATTTGACATAGACGCCATCTTTGTTTTCTGTCACCGACATGTCATTTTGTAAGTTGAATGTTTACCATTGATCGTTATGGAGTCGTATTCGATTGAAGACCGCATTAAAGTTATTCAAGAGCACTACAAAAATGGTGCAAAAATAAAAAAACATGTTTCGCGCGCTTCGTGAACATTTCGGTCGCAACAACCGCCCAAACGAATCAACCATCGGTCGTCTGGTGCGTAAATTCGGGGCAACAGGTTCTGTGGCAAATCTTCCAGGCTCTGGCCGGCCAAGGAGCGTTCGCACACCGGAAAATATTGCTGTTGTGAAGGAGAGTGTGAGAGACGATCCGAAACAATCAACAACGCGTCGATCCCAAGAATTGGGCATTTCGAGAACCAGTTTGCTCCGCATTCTCCACAAGGATTTGAATGTACATGCCTACAAGATCCAATTGACGCAAGAGCTGCGTCGGGCCGACCATTTTTCGCGCCGAACGTTCTCAGATTGGCTCCTTGAACACCGCCAAATTGATGCCAATTTTTCATCAAAAATCATGTTCAGCGGCGAAGCGCATTTCACTTTGAATGGGACGGTAAACAAGCAAAACTGCCGCATCTGGGCGAACGAAAATCCCCGTGAGTATCAAGAGCAGCCGTTGCATCCTCAAAAAGTGACTGTGTGATGTGCATTGTGGTCAAAAGGCATCATCGGACCTTACTTTTTCGAAAATGCGGCCGTGGACGCCGTTACCGTCAATTCTGAGCGATATCACGTGATGATAGAGGACTATTTTTTGCCGCAACTTGAAGGAATGGATATGAACGATGTTTATTTCCAACAAGACGGTGCAACATGCCACACAACCAACGTCAATATCCATCGATTGCAGTGCTTCTTCGGTGATCGCGTGATTTCGCGCAGAGGAAATGTGCCATGGCCACCAAGATCGTGCGATTTGACTCCCTTGGACTTCTTTTTATGGAGATATTTGAAAAGCAAAGTCTACTTCAACAAACCAGCCACCCTCCAAGAACTCAAAAACAACATCATTGCCGAGATAAATGCCATAGAACCGACCATGTTGCAAAATGTCATTGAAAATTTCGACCATCGCGTGGACGTCTGTAAATCCAATCGTGGTGAACATTTGAGCGATATTATTTTTCATACATAAATGGTATAAATGAACCTTCAAAATAAAGTACCCAACTTGATTTGTATATCAATCTTTCTTGTTTTAATATGCGTTTACTTTCCTGCGTCCGTTTTGGACAACCCCATATTTTAAAACGATGTAAGTAAAAAACATAGAAGCATCCGTAAATTTTCATAGTAATCAGAATCAGCAGCAACACTGCGGTGAGCGATATGTTCGAGAATGATCTCGATTACTTTGAACGGAATAAATACGCAAGGCGTGGCTTCAGTCCGCTCAGTGTAAAACTGAACGGTAAAAAGTCCAGCGGTTGAGTTAGAGTTGGCCTGCAATTAAAAACATTATAAGCAGTAGTAAGAAGATTGGAATGCAAAGAACAATATTTAGAGAAGTTAAAGGTAAAAATGTATGTTTGTTGTGTAATACAACTGTTTCCGTTACAACAAAAAAAGCTCTACATTCAAATTTTGAAAATTCATTCGCATTACGTTCTGCAACTAGAACGGAAAAACTGCAGATTCATTATTGCCAACTTTAGAAATAAAGACTAGATAGTGTCTCCGATAAAATTTATGCAACTTCCTGCTAATACAGTGATGAGACGAGTAGAAGTAATGAGCAATGATATGGTTTTACAGTTAAGAAATGACTAAATCCACAGATGTCGTTGACACCCCTCAGATGGCCGTGTTCGTCAGGATGGTTTTTAGTGACTACGATTAAAGAAGATCTTTTGAAGTTTATTCCACTAAAAGAACAGACTACTGGGCAGGACTTGTTTTCTTATTTTATAAACATTATTTCCGATGGCGCTAGAGCTATGGTGAGGTTATGTCATAAAGATGAAAGTTTTCCGCAATTTCTCTGTTACCACTGCATTATCCATCAGCAAGCATTATGTGGACATATTCTAAGACTAAACAACGTTATGAAATTGCTAAAAAATTGTGAACAAGATTTGAGCTAAGCGTTACAAAGAAGATTATTCAAAACCTTGGCCGTTGAAATTGACTGTCAATACGGGGAACTACTTCTTCACTCTGAAGTCCGATGGATAAGTAGGGAACGAGTGCTGAAACCTTTTAATGATATCATATCTGCCATAGTTCAATTTTTCAAACAACGTGATGAACAGATTCCGGAACTGGAAAATTCAATCTGGCTTAGAGATTTTAGTTTTCGTGTGGATATTACAGAAAAATTTAATGAACTTAATTTGCAGCTTCAGAGGAGAGGCAAAGAACTAGCAGAAATGATTTCTGATACAAAAGCGTTTATCAAAAAGCTTGAGTTTTGGGAACAAAACTAAAGCGATAGCGATACAAGTCATTTTCCTGTTCTTTTGGAAAATATATCTCAAAGCCCATTAGAACCACATGAGAGTAAATATCATATAAAAATAGTCTCTAACTTGAAGGATAACTTCAAAAGTCCTTTCACTGATTTCAAGGAAATTGCTATAGTGCCATTGTATAGCTGACGAAAATTTTTGTTTATTGTTCAAACACCTACTATTGGTAGGAATGGATGTAGTTATGTACTGTGTATTAATTATTAGTTTATCTAAGTCTATTAGTATGTATTAGTATTAGTAAAATAAACATGTATGTCGCATACAACTGTGTATAATGTCTACTATTCGTCATTATTCGTCAAAGCGGTTCGGTGGACCTTTGCTCTTAGTTAAAGTCTCGTCGGTCTGTTAGTCTGTCAGGTCTGGCTACCCAGATACCAAACATGTTTAAGGGGAAAAGGGAAAAAAGGAAAGAAAGGAAGGAAGAAATAGAGCAAAGGAAAGAAGTAAATCATTTTAAATAGCTTAAGCATTATTGCTTTGACTACCAGAATTATTTTATAACTTCAAAAAATAATTTTTATCGGTTTTGTATACTGAAATAATTTTGGCTGGTCTGAATTTACAATTTTATTTTGATTACAGTGCGAGGCGCAGCCTGGAATGTTTGCGAACTTGCTCGACTGTGTAGTCTACTGAATCGCGCAACAGAGGGTTTCTGTGCGATTCCGCTTGATTATAACGCCATTGCGCCTGTTGTTTTACATAATCCCTTAGATATGGGATATCAAGATCCCTGTGAATGGTCTTCTTTGACACGTACCAAGGGGCGTTAGTAATTGTGCGTAGGGTTCTGTTTTGCGGGACTTGCAGTCTCTGCATGGTGTGCGTCTTGGCAAGAAAACACCAAGCCGCGCATGCATAGGTGATTGCGGGTCTTATGACGATTTTATACAACCGAATCTTGCTGATCAAACTTAATTTTGAATTTCTGCACAACAAAGGATAAAGTTGTCGAAAGGTAATTTGGAATTTTGTTTCTAAAATATCAGTATCTTTCTGCCAGGTCAACCCCTTGTCAATGATGACTCCAAGATACCCGACAGATTGCTCCCATGATATACGACTTCCATTCACTGATATTTCTGAGTGGCACTGCGACGTTTTTTAGTACAATAGATTGCCTGCGTTTCCGAAGTATCAATTTTGATCAACCACCGATCCGCCCACTCCAATACTCCCTCCCTATACAGAGTGTCCGCAAAGTTGGGGTTTTCCTTTACACGACGTGTAGATCTTGAAAACATAAGCAATTTTTCTTAGTACCATATACACCAATGTCTTAAGGGAACCGAGATAAAGGGCTCTGCATCATCAAAAATATCTGAATACCGTCCTGTAGCCGCGACATCCCCCAGTGGTACTAGGACAAAAACTAAAAGTATCAAAAACTAAAGTGTGGCAAACGCTGCGTGAAGAGGGGCTGTATCCGTTTCACGTCCAACGTGTACAAGCCCTTCAACCTGACGATTTTCCAGCAAGAGTGCGGTTTTGTGAGTGGTTGTTGCATCAACATGACAATAATCCTGACTTTTTGAAGTGCATATTGGTGACAGACGAATCTACGTTCAGGCGTAATGGGGTGAGTAACTTTCGCAACAGTCATGTGTGGTCAGTAGAAAATCCGCACGCTGTCCGTCGGGCACATTTTCAACAAACATTTTCGGTGAATGTTTGGGCTGGCATGGTGAACCTATACCTAGACTTTTTACGCAACATTTTGCCTTCCTTGTTTGCCTGCGTCTGCTCGGTAGCGCATCAGCTGATTTCATTTTCTGTTGGAGCATTACCTTTGTTATTTCAAGGGTAGTTGTTTCTGAAAAGGAAAACCCCAACTTTGCGGACACCCTGTATATATAAGTTGTAGGGCTAACCTGTATCCTACGAGAGGATAGAAGATGCAACTCGGCACCTTTACGCAGCGCCTGGCAACTGCGAGAATGTAATATGAAATTTTCCTTTATTTTATCATTCAAATTAACATAGTACTTTACAGTTTGTAATTCAGTTAGAATCTAAGTTTCACGCCAATCACTACTTGTAATTTCGGAAATAAAATAGTTTTTATATATAAAGTGAATAAAGGATTGGTCCTAAGACCGAACCCTGAGGAACATCGGCTTGTTGACAGCACATTGTTAATTTTGATCCGAAACTTCCTTCCTTCTAGAAAAGATTTCAACAGTTTTAGTAGCCAAAATGGAAAACCCTTTGAGACGAGCTGATACAAGAGGCCCATGTGCCACACCTTGTCAAATGCCTTTGATACATCTAAAAGCAAGATACCAGTACTTTTGTTCAGGGTGAACCCCCTGGTTACATGCTCCACCAGTCTAACTGCCTGTAGCTCATGGTGAACTGACGAGAAATTCTCAAGGTGACGATAAATCACCTTTTCAGCGAGCTTAGGAGCTGACAGCAGACGTAATCCTGGGGGAATATCGAACCTGCCTTCTTTGGCATCGTGATGACTTCGGCGACCTTCCATGTCTTTGTGTATAATTTCATTTCAGTTGGCTTACATTGCTTACGACTAGGTAGATAGCTCACCGTTTATTCCAAAATAATCAAAGTAGCACACTGAAAAGGTTAGCGACCACTGACCTAGAGTATCTAAAACGACCCTTGTCTTGCTGTCTCTACAAACAACCTCGGAATATGATTTTCTTTCAAGAATTCGAAAGCATTGAATTTGAATTGTTTTAAGCCAAATCCTCAACGGTGACACATAAATGCTTATTGCAAAATCATGCCTCTGATAGTGACACTCTTCCTAAAAGGTCCATCTATATTATAAACACTGTTGAAAGACAAAAGTTCATTTTTAGAAGCTGTATATTGTTTACGTCCATTTTCCGTGGATGTGTCTATCTTGGTTGCTTGTTCGTATGTTGGAAAGGTAAGAACCTCGATAATAGATGGATGATTAAATCCTACAATGAATGAATAAAAAACGATTTGTCTGCTGAATGCATCAGACGACAAGGTTTGATTTTTGATCCGGATACCGATGGAATTTCATCGTGGATTTTACGAGAAACTAATAACTTTTGTTCATGAAAAGACCTATGAATGAATATGAGCACATGATTAAGCAATATACATGCAGGTTAGGAAATTTCAAAACTGGATATTCTTAGATAAGACATAAATGGTACAAGCATGCTTACTATATATATAATCAAGTTTTTCACTGTGAAACTAGTCGGGCTAGTCCAAAAGGAAGGCTCTCATCAACAACTTTCCAGTTTTGAAACTACCCTACCTCTACATTGAAAATCTCACGTACTTTCACCAAAAATGTTTCATACTCCTCTTCTTCTCCCATTTGAGTCTCGTCTAATAGTTCGTCTCTGCCCTTTTTTCCTTTTTTTCCTTTCTTTCCTTTTCCTTTCTTTCCTATCTTCCCCTTTCCTCCAGCAGCTTCTTCTCTGGGGGTATTTTCTATGTCAGAAACTTCAGCATCTGTCGGCGCATCTGTAAAAAGAATTATGTGGCTTTTACAAATAAGAGTGCATAAAATCTATACCGCGTTGCAGTCTCAATTGCAAATTCGTTGCGGATAGTGGAGGTAGAACACGAAAACCTCGGAATCCAGGGAAGCAGAATACACAAGATTTTTAGTGGAATGCGTTTAAAGTGTTGTACATTTATATTGAAAAGATTAGATACAAGCACACGTACCTTAAGGTGGTAGTCTAGTGGCGCTCCAGGAGTTCAGTTTGGGAGGGGTAAAATGGAAAGTAAATTCTCAGTATGACGTACTGAAGTATTATAATGATTTAATATTAAAAGCAAGCACATATGCCGACATATGAATTTGTTACAGTAATTTCTGTAGAAAATATATACATTTTTTTTTATTTTGAATCACACGAAATCAATGTGTAAATAAAGCAAAGCAAGCTCGAGCAATCTTCATATATTAAAACAAAAATGTAAAATAATATGATCTATCACAGACTTTTCTACATAAACAACAAAAAATATACTAAGTGACATATAAATCCGAACACCCAGTTTAAATGGTTTTATTTTAATAAAATTTTGCATAAGTACTTAATGAAGCATAATAAGTAAATGATAAAAATTTCAAAATGATTGCACTGCTTTAAATCCCTTTGACCTTTAATAATGTGTGGACGCACCCTGATGTGCTACGCATTCTCCTACGCGCCTAGGCATGCTTCTGATCAGGTGGTCAATGTCCTCCTGTGATATCTCATTCCAGGCAACCACCAACTCCTCTCGAAGTGCTTCTAGAGTCTGAGGAGGACGTTGCAAATTGAGCAATCTCCTACCCATCATATCCCACACGTGCTCAATTGGGGATAAGTCGGGAGATCTTGGTGGCCATGGTAACAATGTGACATCATTATGTTGAAAGAAGTCTATTGTGACTCTTGCAACATGTGGTCTGGCATTATCTTGTTGGAAAGTTGGATCTGCCAGGGTGTCAATATAGGGTAAAAGATGGGGTTCTAGAACTTCGTGGATATAACGCTGCGCGTTCATGTTACCTCTGATGAAGATTAAAGGTGACCTGGAACCATAAGCTATAGCACCCCAAACCATAACTCCAACAGTGTGATAAACATGTCTTCCAACAAAAAACTGTGGATTCCTCCTTTCACCACGTCGCCTTCTAACCTTGGCACGACCATCGTGCATGCCTAAACAAAATCGAAACTCGTCACTAAAGACAATACTGTTCCATTCCTGATCCCAGGGTGACCGTTGTCTGCACCACTCAAGGCGATTACGTCGGTGTTCTCGAGTTAAAGGGAGGACCCAGTGTGGCCGGTATGAAAACAAGCCAAAACTTCTCATTCGTCGGTAAACACTTCGCATGCCAATAGGTCTTCCGTGTTCTGCAAACCATTCATTTGCAATGGACCTCGTAGTGGAGAAAAGGTCCCTTAAGGCCAATAATCTTAGGCGGCGATCTTCACGGT